CCGATGGAATCCAGGCTGCCAGGGTGCCGTCCGCGGGGTCCAGGTGTTGGCTCTGCATTCTGTAACGAACAGTTCTTTCCAGACCCTATGCGGACGACACAATCCAAAGATGTGGGGAAACACTGGGAAAACGTCATGCAGGAATACGGGGCTGAAAACAGGGGGGCGTGTCCAAAGTGCGCTGGTGCACAGGGGAGGTGTGGCCGAGGCAAACAATCCAAAAGAGTAATCCTTAGAGGGTATCCAAAAACACAAGAGTAAGTCCAAAGCCAGGAGATCCATCAAAACAAGGAATTAAAACCATGAACCGGGTTGGAACCGGCGTACAGGGAACAGGAACGGGAACAGAAATTAAAACCTTAACGGGACCAGGCGCTTCCAGGTCCCGGACTCGCACGGTGCGGAAACCAGATGCAGAGCCAGGATGAGCGTCAGCGCCTGGCTTTTAAGGTGGGCTAGGAAAAAGGGATCAGGTGCACAGAATGAAGTCTAAAGTGAAAGGGCTGGAGCACCCTTAAGGAGGGGGGACTATAAACGTGACAGTACTTGATAGAAATGCTCTCATTGCATCAGTTCCGAAGTGTAAAAAGGTTTCATATGAAATCTTGAATTTCCTGGAATGGAAATATACTGTAAATTCTAAGAATACAAACAGGGATGTAAAATAATATTAATGTGATGTACCTCTTTACCATTTATGGCTTTTTAACCTCCTGTGGAACACATAAGATCCCACTGGTGTAAGTTGAATATGGACCATTTTAGAAAAGAATGCTGGGTGGCATGTTTAGTGAAACAACCCATTAAATATTGAAGTGCTGTAGAAGAGATGCAGCAGATGGAATATGATGTTCAGACAAATACAATATTAATTTTAATGTGCTTATTTGACTTGAGGACAGGACTCCTTAGGACCTACAAAGAACTTTGGTTTTTTTATTTTTAGCTGTACTATTTTTTTCTCTTTTACTTTATGTTAATTTCTTTATAAATGTATATTATGTATGTCATGCTGGAAATGTGTGTTTTTATTTGTATACAAGTCATTGTAATGTGGTTTAATAATCTGAACATTATTATATAGAGAAACACTTACATGGGATAGCTGGAATTCTCTAAAATCCAGCAATGTACTAAAAATCATTCACATTTCTAATGAGACTGAAGAAATGAATATGCAGGTCTCAACCAATAGCATGACCTCAAAACAACATTGTGAGGCATCAGATTCAGGAAAACATGATATTTTCATTTCGTCCTTTATCAAAGCAGTTGTTTTTTTTTCAAACAATGGTATTTTAGTTATACCATTGCTATCTTTTTATATCATCACAATTGGTGCTTGAATTGACACAAATTGTCATCTTCCAATGAAATGTTCTAAGAGCTCATCCAGAAATTGTCTGTTACTAACTAATTAAACTATTTTGTATAATTCTTACAGTATGTCCTTTTCTATATGTTTCCACTGGAAACAGGGAATTGACATTTGTCTGTTTCTGCTACAAAGTGTCCAAAGTTGTATTATGTTTGTAATAAGGTGTTTTCCTTATTTATGTTCCTTAAACATACACCCTGTATGATATCCCTGTAATTGTTATTTAAAATGAGAGTTACAACAGCAAATGTCAGAGGACTTTCTGTCGTCATTTGCTGAACTTGCAAATCCATTCATGTTTTTATCAGATGTTACAGATAAAACATGAATGGATTTGTTGTCCATTCAACCAAGTAGTTTAGACATGATCTATCTGTGTGTCTAAATCCAAATGCCTTGTACCTTTGAGAGAAGTTCAATTTAGTCAAAACGTTCCACACCCATTTATTTCTTCTAGAAATGATTACTAGGGACAGCTGAAACAGCACAATGCAGAGTAAAATCCTGGAGGTGATATGTAGATGATGTCTATGTTCTTTGCTGTGCTGGATGTTTTAGACTCCTGCCACACAGTGTTAAGGCTAGTGATTAGCATGAGCACTTTCAAATTGCACTTGATTTTGATTGAAATGAGACTTGTCAGCACCCATTGTCTGATGCATGAGAAAGGTGTATTATTTAGAATTTGAGGAGCCACTTAGACTTAAGACTTTGCTTGCATTAGGTAGCACAGGAAAAATTCTGAAAGAAGTGGGCTTTGTTTTGTGTAGTCCGTGTAAATGAAGAAAAAAAAATACTATATACTGTATATACAGTAATTTATTGTTTGTACCTTGAAAAGATTGTAAATAGTAGAAATTGATTAAAAAGCATCCCTTAGAAGCCTAGTTTATAAAGGAGCTACAGATGCTATCCTAGACAATTATAATCTATCAGTTGTGAGCCACTGCTAAACCTTTTGTGCTGCTCTCAAGGGAAGGATATTTGTTAGACTGAAAAGGTTAAAAACCTGGAGTGAATTTTAAAAGTATGGGTTTGAACAGCAAGGAGAAGGAGAGGTGTTGGCAACAGAGGCTGCTGCAACCACTGCTATGTTAATAGTTTAACAAAATATCCAATAAACAAGAACATACAGTACATTCAGACTACATTAAACTGCTTTTATCAGTCATCATTTAATCATAATGGTTATTAACATTCTGAGCACAACTGCATATTGCATCACCAGATTTCACACCTGAAGAAGGCTCCACGGCCGAAACGTTGTGTTCTCTTTCTTCTTTTTTTCAGCATGGAATAAACCTATTACTTGTTCCTTTGCAGCCTACGCATGCTGACGCAGCTACCCACCTGAACTATCACCAGATTTAAGATATACAGTTGTGTCCAGTTGTTTTAAAAAATAGATTAAAAGACTATAGTGGAGTGTATAGCATGGGTTTTCTTGGGTTTGAGGACAGAGAATAAATATAAAGAATGTGTGTCTGTATTTACTGAGGGAAACTGAAAATAATTATGTTTCACATCAGACAGAGCAGACACAGTAAATAACTGGTAGCTGTACAAATGAAAGGGCCTGAGGCAGAAGCAAACAGCAACAAAATAAAACTTACTGATTGCTGGAAAATCCAAGGCTAATTGTTTCCTAACCAGCACTCAACTTGATGCTGAATTCAGTTTCACATCAAATGTCACCACATCGAAAGGAAGTGTGAAGTGGTCTTGATGCAGAGACTTGCAGCTAAAAGACTTTCTTCACAGGCAGAAACCATCAAAAATAATTTGAAGAGCATTATTTCATACAGATGTTGTCAGAAGAGTAAAAAGGAGTGAAACAGAAAGTTTTGTGAAGCATTTTTTTTCCCAATTTTGTCTTTTCAAAACCAGGAGGAAATAGTACTTGCGATGAGAAACAATTGATAGAATATTGTGTAATGTCTACAGTAAAACATAAAAGGCATAATAAGAATGTGTGGGGTTGGTCTGCTAGTGTACACAAGGGAGATTAAAGTTAAAACAGACATTACACTATATACATTTACATTAAAAGAGTAGAATGTCTTTTAATGTATGGCAGTGCCTCCCAGAAGATATTTTTGTATTCTTTCAGCATAATAATCACCCTACATGCAACAATGCTAAAGCTGAAGGACTTTAGTGAGTCAAAAGGAAGAAATAACCATCTTCTTAAAATATACTGGGTTTTCAATGGGTTCCTAGGGTTTCCACATGCTGTCAAGGTGCTTAACTAAACTGGACATTGAGAATACCACGATAAACCGTACCATGGAGTGTTTATACGGCATCCATTGTATAGTGCATATACAGTAATATATACTGTATATATTATTCCTATGGTCCAGTGTAATAGAGCACAGTGAATATTGAAACCATAGAAAACCACAGCAAAACTATGGTAAAAATTGGAAAGTTATCAGATAACAATTCTCTTATGTGCAAATGTAGTAACAATAAGAATTATTGATGTGATTAATATTTTTACAAAACTTATTTCCATTATATTATTTTTTGAGAATGTTATTACACTTTGATATAAATCTCTAGTTTATTCTGTTTATTCCATTTCTTATTTGGATTTCATTAATATGTTAGCTGTTTTTATTAATATACAGTATACAGTATATATCCAGTATTGCCTATAATTCATGTCTTCTTTAAACTGCCTGATAAAACAAATGCATATTGCCTCAATTGTAATTACATGCTAAAATATACTGACATAACCTATTGTAAAGTCTATCAACCTTCTATAATACTACTTAAACCAGCATATTGAATGAGGGAATTACTGAAGCTCAAAATGGTATAGGATTCATACCAATTACAAACCCCATTCAAGGTTAAAAATGTGCCCCAAATAGGAAACTGAAATAAATTATCCTGTTATAAGGAACTTGGGTGCAGAAAAAAAACAGAAGACACAACAGTCCACCATGACCAGGGTTGTTACCCACTGACATAAATACAGTATTTTAATTGTCAACCCTTATAAGTGTTTCTTTCTTATTTAATATTATACATAGAGCCAAGATCAATTCTATTTTTTGGTGTTTAGTATTCAGGACTGAAAGAATTGTAGTGAATAAGAACCATACTGAAATCTCTCACTGTAAAAAACACAACAATCTGAAACATTTGAGGATTTATGCATAAATGATGTGACAAGTGATTTCATGGAGCATTATTTGAAACCACCAGCAATGTAAATGTGTTGTGGATGTATCCCTTCGTTTAATTTGAACAGCTGGGATGAACACAGTAGATGCCTCCCCTCAAACCACACAAAGAGAAAGGACTATTCAGCATACTGATGATTGTGGCTCTTGATAGTTTGGTTCATTAAAGCAGATTGAAAATGTCGTTTTGTGCCTCTTCCCTGCCTTGTGGTGAAAAATGAAAAAGCATTAATCCTGGATATAGGCAGGATATGAATCTGAGCCAAAGAAGTCTGACCCAAATCAACTGTGATTAAATCATCGGTAGCAAAGGTTCTAGGGAGAAGGTCACTGAAACAGCATTAGGACTAATTTGTCCATCCCTTCACAGAAGGAATAAAAGTCATCTTTCATCTAACTAATTTTCTCCTTGTTCCATTCCCTAGATTGCCTTTTCGTGACTGATTATTTCACCCGGACGCCTCGGAAACTGAATGCTTTCCGGTCATTTGCCAGCGTAGAGTTATTCCATTTTAATGTGCCTGATGACACTGTGGTGGCTGTCTGGAACCTCATCACGTTCAAAGAGCAAGGAGGCACATTTGGAGACAGTTGTCCTGACCGCAACGTCACTGTGTGAGTGTGACCTTTTCAGTGTGCTCAGAATGACAGAAGGGAATAGAAAGAGTGGGGGGGGGGTTTCATTAGAAGCTAACCTTAAGTCACATGTAATAAAACCCAACGTATTTATGCTGTATTTATACATAACTGTGAAGCACATTATTACTACAAGGCTGTTAGGTTGAACATCAGTCTTGAAGTGATATGTTCAAATGTGTTATGACAATAGTGTCATTTTACGTTTTAGGCTATAAAAATGTGTAATAAGCTCAACACAATATACTACATGGCTGTAGTCTGGTGGAGCCACAAAAGATGAATCTGTACTTGTTCAAATTCCAAAAGTCAAGTGACAATCATTATTTTAATGCTATGCTGACAGGTAATATAAAAATGAAGAGACAACTGGCATCATTCTTGAGAATATCCTTACACACTGTGGCAGATTTAAGTCATTCAGTCCCTGTAAATTTAAATAATGAACGTATTGTTCTGTCACAGGCAAAGTATTTTTCAGACTTTGTTGGCAGCTCTGGTTCTTAGTTTTCATGTGAAATAAATACCTTCGATTTCATGTTCAAATAGAATTATAAGTCTTTCGCATGGCAATACCTTCAAAACACTGCCTATTTCTTAGCATGCGCATGTACAATATATTTTCAAAGCTTGGAAATAATTTATTTTATACATGCAGAAAGCTACGAAACAGCTTTAAACAAAATGCCTTGAGCACAAATTGGCAAAACAGTGAACACAAGGACACAAATGGAAACTAAGGGGAACTTTGTGCTGGTGGGAGTAACCATGGTAACACCCACTAACACCAGTAGGGCTACTGATTCCCCCTGACATACTGTATATTATTTTTACATCACCTGCGAAACATTTCCTTGAATAACTGTAATGTAGAGCACAGAAATCTGTGAGAAGGCATTGGAGGGTCATATTTAAATAATGCAATATTTGGCTTTAACATCGACCCCATTTGGTGACTGTATCAACAGCGTTCATCAATATCTTAGAGAACTGTTCCACAGTTTTTTGCTTTATTGTCATGATAACCATCAACACGCTATTAATAATCAAGAGTTATTACTTTAAAGTACTGTAGAATTATAACAGGAGTATTGAATATCATGAACTATTTTTTTAGCTTTTTAATAATGTGTTTCAAGAGTGAACACAAATACATGATTGTCCGCACAAACTATACGAAAGTAAGCACAGTCACAAATGAGACAAACCCATTTGACTAATCTAGCCCATTTTGTAATGAGTAGCTAACAGATTTGGGGATCTCATACATTCATGTTTTGAAAGGAGCCAAAGTACTGACTTCAACAATTTAGCTTGTTTCATTTTCCTACTACTGTACCTTTTGTGTAATGAAGTGCCTCCTGTTCTGTGTTTTAAATGTACTTCCACGTAGGTTTATTTGTTAGCTCTGGTTCATACTTCACGGCTGATTAAAAAAATATAACAATACTCAAGAATGGGAAGAGTCCACGTTTAGCTGATTTGATAATGTTTTTTTTTTTTAACTGGGATTTACTGGGATATGTTACCAATGAATTCCTTTTGGTTTATAATTGAAAAAATCAAATTCAATTTTAAAAATCAAAATTTTGAAAATCATTTGCTACTTCAGCAACCTACAGTAAATATAAGAAGATTGTTAAACTTTAATCACAGCAGAATTGGTTTAAAATAAAATACTGTATGCACTCTACATGGCTGTTTGAACAAATAAACTATGTAAGGGGGTTCAAAGTCAGTTCTTATAGGGACCTATCCTTTTCAGTGTATGTAGTCTGATTGTTACTGAAACCTGAGGTTTAAATTAAATAATTCATTTTTATTGTGATATACAGTAAATTTATTCAGGTGGAATTATTAAGTTACTAAGTCATGTCATTGAAGGTGATGTATTGTTAGTTTTCAAACAATGAATGCATATGATAATTGGCTTGATTAGCAACCAAACATGCTATATGGGCACAGTGGTTTCCCTTCCTTTTTAACTTCCTTATACTAATATGTACTGTATAGGTACCTATAAAATCAGTTAATACAATTATGACTGCACCATTAATTGATCACACCAAATATGCAATTAAGAGCTTACAGAAGATAACAGAAGCCAGAAGACACTGGGCTATCCAGGAACTGAGTTTGAGATGCGTGTCCTAAGGGAGTTAACAATAAAACAAATTATACTTTACTAATTTACTCTAATTTACTTTTTTTAACTTTTTTTTTTAATTCCTTATAGCTTTTACGAGGATACATCAGGAAACAAAAACATGACCGTATTCCTCAGGCACAGATAAATATTTTTTCTACAAATTAAATTCTCTAATGATCATAAGGTACATTGTAGAGCACTTTCTCACAGAAAAGAATCTTCAACAAAACAATAATCTCTGAGGATGATCAGCAATGAATGCAAGGTGATTTTTTCTCCTTTAGTGTACAAACTAGAACAATTTCCTCACAGATTGTTGTGCTTATATTGAACCTTGTTTACCTTTCAATACTGTATATCAGTCATACAACTGTTCAAAGTAAATATACCTGTCAAATGACCAAATAAACCTGCCTGTCTGGCTTACCTGATCATCAGTTAAAGTGAATACCACTGAGACAAACAGGAATCTGCATAAGATGCTTACTAACAAGAACAGGTCATTCGTCCCATCATGTTCATTTAGTTGCCTGAAGCTCATTGATCTGAGGGTCTTATCCAGCTATTACTTCAAAAGATCCCAGGGAATTGGCTTCAGCAGCATACTGTAGCTGACACCTTCCACCCACCACTAATGCCTCCTGTTATCAGTCCTAAATACACTTCCTCATACCATCCAATTACACTCTTCTTCCAGTTGTGTTCTTGTTTTACTGCTGAGCATAATGTAATCCTTTGGGCTGACATGAGCTTCTGCATTTCCTTTTAAAGTACTATGATGCAAATGAAGTCCCAGGATATTGTTTTAAAGGCATTCACCCATCTATTTGATTTGGTAAGGTCACATGTACAATTCTGAATCCCTTAGTGGAGGCTTCACACTAAATTTATGTAAATGTATTGCAAGGAATGGAAAAATCTGTAGTCAAACAACCTCCATATCACTGTATTAGCTTTAACTTGGCTTTAATGCCTTTGGCCTATTTTAACCTGTAAATGGACGCAGCAGGAAAAAACTATTTCAATTAATTCCATTTTGTTAGATCTTGGTACATACATGCCAACAGTCTTATGTGACAACCTCATGTTTTTGGAGTTCAAAATGATATTTTGAGGCCAAATTCGAACTACAATTTACTGTAGGTAATTCAGCAGCTTAAAGTTGATTTCCAAAAACACATAAAATGGTTGCCTGCCAATGGCTGAATGTTTTGAGTGGAATCTGCTACATTAAATCTTTTTCTTTTCTCATTTAATGATTAATCCATTCGTGATCAGGCAGACAAGAAGGTTGGCACCCATCTTAAAGAGTGCTTTGACATGCTCAAAAGCTTTGTGAAAGGTCAAAAACATATTCCTCAGAAATGCCATTCAGTAGATGAGATCTGATTTATTTAGACATGGGGCTGCATCACCATACACAGCCTTCAGTTGTCGATGGATAATCAGCAGATGTTCCTGCTTTGTTGTGCTTTACCATGGCCCTTCTTGATTTCAGTGACATCCTTGCTTTAACAGATCCCCTCACTCCAGCTGCTTGCCTCTAACGAAAAAGAGATCAATGATTTCTCTTGTAGTGTTAGAAATGAATGAGTGTGCCATGAACCAAATGACTTCACTGAAATCTAAACATATGACATTCAGACCTTTCAGACCTGCTAGGACTACTGTCACAAAGTAAAGACAAACATATAAAGTAAGGGAACTCAAATAGTACATTCTTACATATTATCAAAAGGTAATAGCACCCTGTTATTTGTAAAAACTGGTAAGTAAAGTAATGGGTGGGTAATGCTTTAACCTGTCTTCCTGTTTGTCCATATCTGAGACCACGTGAATATATCTGCTATATATAAAGTCTTTACACGCAGCTTGCTTCTGTAAACATTTGTCCCAGTATTGTGAAATTCATATATTTTTTCTTCATTTTACAAAAGGCAGTGTTCTTATTATTTCATTCTTCATGGTTACCAGAAATGTGTTTAAAACTAAGGAAAGCTCATTTCCTGTTTACAAATAACAGTTTCAGGAGTTGTTGTTTTTTTTGTAGCCTGCTCTTGCAATCCCACTCAGACTCCAGAAATTCAAAAGATATTGAGCATCACCCTGGGATTTCTCCAGTTCCCCATGAACATGTTGTCTTGTTGATTTACAGAAATCTAGTCTCCAATACAGGTGCTTTCGTATCCCAGTGAAACCTTAAAACTGATAAAACTGTTAAAGTCTTCAGCGATGTTGTGTTTAATGGGAGCTGTCATTTTGAATCCAAGAAAGAGCTATTGATCTTGAAGCAGCCAGCCATGGCTGTTATCCATCGATTCAGTCATCCTGCTGCTTCTGTTTAACAAATCCTTCTATATCTCTGCCTATTGCAAAATATAAGAGCTAGATTAATTATAAATTCTCTGCACAGCATCCTGTGTAATCTGTACAGTGTGATCTACAACATTTATTTGTCATGTTAACACTGAGTTAACTATGCTTCTTTTGAAAAGATAAGGAGGGGATCGGTAGGAAAAGTACAATGGGTGGTTCAGAAGATTTTATTGTCTAGATAATTCTTTCATGAGACATGTAATTACAGTATCTGCCCCTCACACTGGATGCTTTCTTTTGTAGATTTCAGCCAAGACAACAGCACGGTCCCTAATTTAGTAAACTCCACATGTTATGTTATGGATGCAAAGATACAAGACAGCTTACATTTTTGGTGTAATGTAAACATCCTTCTCAAATGTACTGTACATATCAATATTAAAAATATTTTATGTTTCTGTACCACTGTAACATCCCAATCAAAATAGTCACATACTTCATTCTGTATATATCCATTTTCAGAATTCATCTTCCTTGAAACCAACACTGAACTGCCTTCCATCTACTGGACTGTAAACATATCATTTGGTGACTTTACATTTTTCTTAAGATTCGTGATTGTAAAGTAAATTTAATCTATTGTCTTGTTCTTTGTTTGATCTGTAACTAATGTATAATTCTATTTGCTCTATAACTAATCTGTAATTCTGATTCTGAATGTTTTTCTGTATTATATTTCTAATATGTTGTGATATACTGTACAACACAACAGTATTTACAGTATTATAACTACCGTGATTAGATCACTCAGCCTTCATGCAGTATGTAACTTAATTACAATTACCTGTAATTAAGGTATGTTGATACATACAGTACAGTATGGTACTGTATGTACTGTACAGTATGTACTGTATGTTGATCCATCACTGTACAGAGTGAAATTACCTGTATATTGTATGACACTTGGGATAAAAAAGCCATCAAATTATATAATGGCTGCTATACTTTGGTTGCACCATCAGTAAGTGATATATCTATAGTATACAACATTTCTTAGGAATTCTTTTCAACTCAATGAACTTTACAGTAGACTGATAGAATTAGTTGAATTCCACACATGAGTTACAGTACATGCATTACAATCATATTGTCCTTCCCTGAGCCTTTTCCTGGCATAAGCCAACATGTTACATTCCCTACTTCAGTCAAAATCTGTATAACAAACTCCTGTTTTAAATTCACAACTGAATACTTGTGATGCTACTGGGAGATTTCCTAAAATCCAGGTCTACTAAAATGAGACAATGGAATAAAAAAACCTTACTAAACTGCTTTAAGGAGCTTCAACAATACAGTAAAAGGCTTTTAACTAACTGCAGTTAATTTGGAGAACTACCATTTAGCTAACATTAACTTTTCATTTAGCTAACATTTTATGTAAAAAAATCAAACAACCCTTTGTAACTCATAGAAGTAACCATTTATTTGTTCAGTCTTCCAGCTTCCTGAGCTAATCTTCATTTTAGTATTAGAACAAATCATATTTATATTTTGTTAGAAAAAAAATGTATAGTCTAAGTGATCTTAGCTGTGCATTCACTTAAATCTTCAGCATGTCACACTTTATGCTTTTGAAATAAACATAACCTTAAAGTAAGGTGAAACACTTTCATAGTGGTTTTTGAAGACTTTTTTTCTGCTGTTCTAAAATTAAGTTATATGATTTGGTATGAAACATACATTATAACACATCTTAAGAAATTCATCCATGATAATAAATTTAGTTTATTTATAGTTTATAGTTCTACTATGGGCCTTTAACAAATAAACTACAAAGCTGAATAATATTTGACCTTTAAGAGTATGAACATCACTCTGGCTGCTCACAGCAGTTGATTCAATTATGTGGTTTTTATGTAGTGCTTGGTATAAAGAGTAGTGTGGGAAATGTAGGTCAAGAAAGGAAGTCCTATAAATTCAGTATTAATGTGTGGGTGAGATGTTAATTGGGTCATAACAAACATGTGCCAATTTTACAGAGAATGATATAGCAGGAATGATTTTGCCCCATCTATTCTGGAGGGAAGAAATCACAGGAAATGTATCCCTAAGCCACCATGAGTCTTCTCCAGGGTTTACCGAAAAGCTGTTCTTAATTCCATTTGCTCTTCTCAATCTACAATATGTGACCCTTTAATCCCCAATTAAGTAATTTGAACTGGTAAAACGCCTAATAACTAAGAAAAACCCCTTCATAATTAACTACCATTAGAAGATTATTGGGTTACATTTGTTTTATCTTTTGACAGTTTTAACTGTCAAAAATGTTTTTAGCTTTTAGGTTTTTCTTTTGACAGTTATGCATGAACAGAAGGGTGAGGCGTGAGAGAGAAAGCTTGATTTCTCATGAGAGTCTTCAGACATGCTGTAGCTCAATCTCGACATAGTTAAAACGAAGAAAAGAAGAGTTCAAGAAGGCTCTGTAAAGAGGGCATAAGGAATAAGAAGCAGCAAGACAGAAGACTACATCTTTGAAATTGCTTTTTCAGTACTACAGTAACTAACTGTAGTAGCTGCTTTTACGGTATGTGTTACATACTGTAGTATATTGAGATCTACCACAGATCTGTGCTCCTGAAATCACAAACAAGAGTTGTCAAGTTTTATTAAATATAAAAAAATCTATTAAGGCAAACAAAAAATATTTATCATTCTGGCCTTTCATTTCAGTATTAGCTATGAACATAAGGACAAAGGAGCTCTGTCTAAACTTATTTTGAAAGACCATGTCAATACACTACAAGTTAATTTTAATTTAAGTGTCTCTAACAAAATTAGTTTTCCAACAACACTGTAATATTTCCTGCTGAGGAAATACTTTTTGCTTCTCCCCCCAAAAATGCTACCTAGAATTAGTTTTTTTTCTTTCTATGTATGCTCCAGAGAAATCATATACATGACATGAATGTTTTCAGACAGTGTAATGCAGTACAGTATTCTCAGTACAGCATATACTGTTACCATACCTAATTTGCAATCAAAAGCATAAATTATCCTTTTCAAATTATATCTATCTGAGTTCAAGCAAATATGTCACAGATTAAATACCTAATACAAGGGTTGTATTCATCTCTTTAAAAAAATAATTTTTTTGCATCAAAACCTCATCACAAAGCAGCAAACCTCATCAAACTTTGAAGCTGATCTTCAATGAGCTCTAGCTCGAGTTTTGCTAGGATTTGGGGCTACAATCAGCCTGAATGAGGTGCTTTACTAAATGGGATTCAAATGTTTAATGGGACCTTGATTCATCAGTGGAAAGCACATCAACTCACCACATTAATCAATCATTAATGCATTTAATTGAAGATTACAGCAAAAATATAACACTTAAACAGGCATTAATCCTAAAATCTTCAGGGAGTGCTTCTAAAGACAGTGCGTTCTGATTAAAAAGACTATCCTCTGAAAGTTAGCTGTCAGTTAGCACTATCATGTGTTCACATTATGGCTAAGTCACATTGGTACTGTGGCAGATCCTTCTAATACTATCCAGGAAAAGTCTAACAGTATGAGACATTGATGAACCAGCTTGCAGATACCCAGGATGTAACTTATTTTTTTGCTTCCAACAAGGATAGCATTAAGAAGGTGCAAAATTTAACAGAAACCTGTTTTATTTTTTCTTATTTCACACCTTATACAATATGCCTCTAATGAAAGAGTAACAGTCACCCAGACTATACTCCTGTGTGTACTACAGTACTTTCTGTTAAAAAATCGCTTGTAAATAAAACATTATTATGATTTGTTCAATGTATCTTTTACCAAAGAAAACATTTTTCTTATTATTCAATAAAAAAATATATTAATTCAGATGAAAATGATTGTTAAAATGTACTTTAGGCATACAGGTGAATAAGTCTAATTATTATCTTCTGAATAGCCTTTATTTTATTTCAAAGCACTCAGACATTTATTTTCTCAGATTCCCAGACTAGGCCTGCAAGAGACAATATTACATTTATAATTCCTGACAGAGCATCAAGATTTTATGCCTTTTAAGGAGTCTGACATTATTTTGAAGAAGATACTTTTGAAATGATAAACATTTGTATGTCTAAATTTTATTATTAATAATGATATTCATAATAACATTTGAATTAGTTTCCCTTTGATATGAATTTTAGTCAATTACTTGGAAAATTACTTTTTTTAATTGTTTCATAAAATACCAATAGTAAAAATAGTCATTTTTTTGCTGATAATAAGAAAAGCAACATTTATAGGCATAAGGCACTGAAATCAAAATAATTTTGTATCAGGCAGCTGTAATCTTCTTTCTGTTTTTCTATTGGTTTCATTTTAGCTTTCTATTGTGTTCCTAGTTGATGCGCAAGCTTACGGTCTGTCACTTTCTGGGCTGCAGGTATTTCAGATCCGGAGCACCTCCTGTTATCAACCCCCTTCGCACCCGGTTTCCTCGAGACACCATCATTCCTGGGTCGTTCGCTGTAACCCTGACTTGGACTCTACCCAACAGGACCACTGGTGTGTTCAATGTCACCAGTCCTCTTCCTGGAGACTGGTTCCTGGCTGCACATTTACCAAAGGATGAAGGAAAGATTTCTGTTAAGGTAACGTCAGCTAAAGTAATGTAATAATTAAGGAAAGTTAAGGAATGATTAAAAAAATATATATTTCCCTAAAGATTATTCACACCTTATTTAACACAAAAGTAGTACACACTGCACTTTCAATGACAAAAATGACCTTCCTTATTGATTTTTCCCTACATATTTGATCCCTGATGACCTCAACTATAAGTTATGCTAATGAAATTTTGAAATGCTATACCTGCATGTCATGTAAATGGCTTTTGAATAATACCTTTATCTTTTTTTTAAGAGAGAAATGTTTTCTTTTTCTTGAAAAAAAGAAATTGATATACTACATTAGGAAAATTACTGGGTCCCTGACCAGAATGGCCTAAGACAGCAGCTGACAGTAAAAAGAACATAAAAAGGTTACAAATGAGAGGGAGGCCTATAAAGTCTGTTTGGTAGTGATACACTAATTGACCCAAGGATCTAAAAAAAGTTACACAGAGACATTAGATTTAAGCAAAGTACAGAGTTTAACCTTCTATTCCACTACTCCAAGCTTTCTGTAGTCTCCTTAAGATCATCTAGGTCAGAGTTTTTTTTTATTACTTCACAGTATGTGTAAGTGCTTCATTGTAGGAAAGAATTGTGTTTAGGTAGTTCTGATTGGCTAAGATTTTAACATGATTTTTGTATACAGAAAGGAATTGAATCCTTTAGGCATTGCAGTACTTAATATTATGTTAAAGCAGAACCATAATATGTTGAATTGAAACTATTATTGGGAAGTCAATTTGGTTATTTATTTAGGGGTTACAAATCGCTTGTGCATTAAAGAATGCAGATTGAAATAACACTAAATCATTATCTAAGAGGATATTTAGTACAGATGCTATTCTTCTGGGGTTTTTATAAGTCTTCTGTGTTCCCTTTAAAGTGATTTACAAACAAAAGCTGTAGTTATCAGCAAATACAGCAATATTGCTAGTAGGCATTGTTAGTCTTGGTTGCCGGTCTGTGTTCTAATTATTAGTGATTTGCAAGTTTAATCTTGTTTTTTTTTAGTTTACAATTTAAGGCTTTCACATCTCTTCTGACAGAACATTTCTAAGCACAATGCTTGTTTTTGGAGTAATATTAAATCTTTTCTTTTTTCTTTTCACTTTCTGATGGTAATTGTTCTTGCTTTAACAGTAATCAAATAGTCTATGAACTAATGAACTGAACATGGTAAACAAAGGACAATTTAAACACTCTAATGCCTGCTATAATTTATGATAAATTTCAAAATTATGCTGCTTTTGCAATCTGGGACTGGGGAAAAGTACTGTAGTTTTGTGTTGCGATTCTTTGTTTTGTAAAAATAAAATAGTTCTGGTAAAAGTCATCATTAAAATATTAAGAGATGCCATTTTTAATTAATCATAGTTGACTTCTGGGGAAAGCTATTTCATGTTTGCTTGAATGGAACAAGGAGTAAAATATGCCTCTGTGTATTCAGCAATGCACATATAAAACTTTCACTTTATACTGTACATTGTGCAGGGGCTGAACATAACAGGTGAAAGCTTGGCTAATGCAAATCTATTTTATTTCATCCTCTATCAGACCAGTTCTCAGTAACAACACTCTTTCTTTATTTGTTTCAGGAAATAACCCATAATAGTACACATTAGACTCCGACTCCCCTATGACCCTGTATTGGATAAAGCAATAATAAAATGGATGGATTATTAATGATATAAATACTGTATCACAGTATCACAGCAAGTAATACTGTACATAAAGGTTTAAGACTAACCATGAACAAAGGCTGTTTTAGCAGAGTATCAAAGCTACCTATGGATTACCATAGCTCCTAGCCAATTCCTGCAGGCAAAAATAATTAGTGCAGTTGATTTGGTAGGCTTAAAAGCCTCCCCTGAAGAATATGTATTTGAGGTATTAATTGATGTAATTCGGCACTTACCAGACGTAGAAACACATGAATATCGTGTAACTCTTTTTTAAAGTACCATTAGGCTACAAGATATTCAGATGCTGAAAAAATGTTGAAATGATGTAGAAATAATTTCCCTTTACCAGTTTAGGCTAATGGCAAACAAGACCCCTAAAAGAATGATTATTATTCTTAAAAGTCTTATTTATCTATTTTACCAGAGAAAGCACTGATTTATTTTTTCCTCTTATATAGCAATAAGGATAAAATAGAGGAATTCCATCCACCATCAGAAAGCCATTCATTCCTGGTAAGGTCATAATAACCCAGAGCAGAAACATACAGTAGTGTGCAAGGCCCGGATACGAGAACACAGGAAGAACATGCAAAAATCCAAGCATCAGAAACCTTCTCAGGTCAGAATCACACCCTGCCCCCTAGAGCTATGAGGCAGCAATATTAACTACTGTACCATACACGCTAAGCCACCTACAGTATTTAAAGAAGTCAACAATATTATAAAGCGATGTTACGGATAAGTGTAGCATGAGGTACGAAATGTTAATGTAAGGACAAATAAAAAATGAAAATGAATATTCAGACTATTCAGATAATCAGAACTTGCAAACTTCTTCATTAGAATCATGAAAACTTTTTACTGTAATTTACAGTATACACAGTGTATACACGTACTGTAGTTTATAAATATACAAATGTAGTTTGTCTACAGTATGTAATTCATGTCATGTGCATTTTATACAGTTTTAATGAGATCCTGGTGGGCCCCTGAGACATATTTGTTACAATCTGCACAGTTACCTTTCGGTTTATTTTGCAGTATTTGAAATGGGTTTCTGCGTCAGTAACCTCTTCTGCTAAGAGGCTCTTTGATTTGTCAATGTTGTCCTGTTCAAGGATTTGTTACACCACCATGTAATATCATCAAAGCATTTCTGACTGGAAAGAACACCTACGTACTAAAAGGATCATTGCATAATAAAATGGCATACCATACAGTATGTATTTTACACAAGATGAGCACAAAGCCAGATTTCTAAAAAAATCTTGATCTTAGGCCAATATAATAATCAAACATGAAGTGCTATTACTGTATTTATAAGACCATATTATAAGCATAAAACATGAGGTAATCCGATTATGAGACCAAAGCTTTTTAGCAAACTAATGGCATAGGAGTAGAATTGTATAATTGAGGACATTGAATATTTCAATCATTCAATAACACGCTCTAAAGGAGAGGCATTGTGATATTTATCGTCACTAGGTTTTATATGAGACATTTCACCAATATACAGTATGCTTCCAATCAGAGCAATGAAGCTCAAGGAATGAAATCATGACATATTTGGTGTTGCAGTAAAATTTAAATTTAAATTATTCTTGAACGCAATCCATATATTATAAGCAAATAATTCTAGTGCCCTTCCTCAAAAATTCTTGAAGGTTCTTTCTATAACAAATGTTCCCCTCCAAAATGTAAATGATTTGTATGCTTTTAATGTTCTCTAAGATTAAACATTTTGTAATATAATGTAAAAATTAAAAAACAAATCAGAGAAGGCACACAATTTACTACAGTATACTGTACCATTAAAACAGCTTTATAGAAGTGGTTCGACACACATACGTGTAATATTTTCCCTTGTGATTCTGCAGTTATGCTTTTTAAAGTTTTCTTCTGGTTTCACTTTCTCTTGAAATGACAATCTGTTTATGTCCAAATGGAAGCTGATGAATTATGTGAAATTTCAAACTGATCCATTTCCCTAAGAAAAAAACCTGTTGCGATGTGTATCATAGCTCAATACTTGTTTCCTTCTTCACTGATTACATGCAAGATTGCAATTCTGGTATTAAATCTTTATTGTAAAGACACAACTCCAAAAACACATACATTACATAAGGGTGGGATTGTCATTGGATTCTTGTAAAAGGTGCTATCCTCTAAAGGCGGAATGGTTTGTGTTTCACAGACTTGTATTTGTCCAACACATTGCAGTTTAATATCAAACAGACGTCCAAGACAACTGAGACCTTTAACAATTTCATAGACAAAGACAGATGGTATACATTTGTGGAAAAGTGACTTCTCAATAAAAAAAAGATTTCATTAGTGCAACAACAAACCAATATCAATAGAAGAAGGAGGGGAAAATGTGTAATTAGTCACTTTTGGTAATTTGTTTACCATTGTTTAGAACTCATTACTTTTTCTGACATGGCATGCAAAGCAAAATCTATCAACTAGTACTGTATATGTTTTAATGAATTGATGTGAAACTGGTGAGTCATTACAATCTGGTAAGTCTCCCAGCTTGTCTTTATGATGAACATGAGCAATGAGTTGGCATTAAATGGCAGTCAAGCTAACTGACTGAAAAGAACTTAATTTTATAACTTCCTGTGACTTGATCACTGGAAACTTGTAGTTATAATACTGTGGAAGAGAAATGGATTAATAATGTTCAGCTCTTAATTCAGCTGGAAACCATATAGGGATACTGCTTTGTATAATGCACAGGATTTTCAAAAACAGAGGAGATGATTAAAATGTCAACTTAAGAGTTGAAAACTTAAATCTAAGAAAATCAAGTGGATAACTCCATGATTAAAATAAGCAGAATGCTAAAAGACAAAGATACTTGTCTGCAAATGATTGCAAAATGGTTCTTTTTCTTTTGGACTCCTTATTACTGGAGGTCATATAGAACATTCAATGCGGATGAAAATAACGATTTTAAAGAACATATTGTTCTCTGTGAAACATACAAACATTTTAATTAACAAAATTATGTAGCATACTGTAACTGAGTTTAATGATACCATGATCATTTCAGTCAGCTGAGATTTTCCTTTTAAATGTGACTCTTAATGAAAATGAATTCAAAAGTTAAAAAGATGTGAAACAACGCATGTACAGTACAATTAATAAAAGCCAAATCTTATTTTCATAGGAACTGACAAAAGATTCTTGGTTTGTGAAGATTCTTTTAGCTCAAGTTTTGTTCCTTACTTTGTCTTGAAAGTCCTTTAAGCATTATTAAATTAAATGTGCAGTTTAGGTACCTTCTTT